CTTGTGCTTTAATATTCTGTTCCCTTGCTTGAAACTTACTTTTCATACAAATCTATTTTTCTGGGTCATTCACTACTGTAGGCATACTAATACTGTACACAGGAGTTTGAGAAATAGAAAAAAGACATACTTTATTAGGTACTCCAGAGGTGCTTCATTAAAATATTTGACCAAATTTTAAAGAAATAGACTCTAAAAGTTTGTGATGAATCATCAAGTTTCTGTAGAGAGTAATGCATTTGCATTCTCATTGCCTGAACTATTAAATATTATCTTTTGTGAAGTGGGGAATGCCATGGCCTACTATCAATTCATCATTTTAATGTACATGTAATATTTAAACCTCCATATGAAAGAAATTTAAACTAGTATAGAAGTTGGCAAAAAACTTTATTAATTAGAAACCTATCTTTAATAGTTTAATTAACCACAAACAAAAGAGCACTGAAGAAAATCTGTAATATACCCTGTCATCTTTACACTGTCCAACTAAAATTAATAATTTAACCTATTTTGCAAAAAGTTACCAACCTTACCTCTAGTTTGAACTACATTATTGTTTCAAATATTAAACACATACACAACAATAATACCAACTGTACCATTCACCCATTACACTGTTGGTTATTTATATTTAGAGATTATATATGATTTTTCCACAGATGGCAATTGCTACAAACTGGGATGCACAATCATAAGAGATTCAGAAAAATAGCAAAAAATATTTTCTTACAATTATGTGCTAACATTAATTATCCAAATAATTTTATCACAAAAAGTTTTTAATTAAGATTCCTGATTCATAGTGTCTTGAAATTTTATAACCTAGATTTGTCAAAGGTGACTACATCTGGTTTGAAGGCATTCAAGATCATGACTCTACCAGGTCTGCAGAAAGAAGATAAACCAAAACCCCAGTTAAAGAAGCCCATGGGAAGGTGGATGACAGGATAACTATGCTAGTTAATTTAGTTTTGCAATGTATTCATTTGTAAGACTTATTAACAGTCAGTCTAAAATCTCTAGGTGATGTACAAAATGAACAGTTAATGCTTGATTCACATAATTTAAGCTAGCCTATAGTTGACCTAATCTGATTTACTTAATTTTCCAGGACTGCATGATTCTTTGTACTATAAACTAGTCTTATGGGTTGCCAAGGTTAATTTGTGATTCAGCATTCTGCAAAAAAAATAGCTAATGTATTGGATGGATACATTATTATAGGTAATATGTCCATACAAGATACTGATCCTTAAAGTAGCTAAACTATTATGTAAATGTATCCATGGTGAATGTATCCATGGTAAATGTGAAGGTCTGTCAAATTATGTCCAACTCTCGGGCATGGTGCTCATCTCTGTTTCTTGGCCAAGGCAGTCAGCGTTGCCCAAAGACAATTTCCATGGTCATGTGGCCAGGATGGCTATATGTCAAAGGTGCATGGAATGCTGTTACCTTCCCACTGAAGCAGTACCTATTAATCTACTCACATTTGCATGCTTTCGAACTGCTAGGTGGGCAGGAGCTGGGGCAAATACAGGTAGTTCTCGAGCTACAAATGTAATGGAGCCTGCCCATTCCATTCGTAACCCAAGGATTTGTGGGAGTTAATCTTGTACCTTGAATGGGATCACTCCTTTTGCCCCTCAGAAGCTCCCTTTTGGATCCGCCCCTCAGAAGCTCCATTTCGGCCAGCAACATGCAGGACAAATGTTGCAGAGCCTCTGCAGTTGTTCGTAAGGGCGAACAATTGATATGGTGCTGCAATATTCGTTGTTTCAGGACTTGTTTGTAAACTCTAGTGGACGCTTATCCTGTAAGATTCGAATGTTTGCTAAGGGAACCCTTGTAACTTGGGGATTACCAGTAATGGGAATTCACCCCCTTGCATGGAGCTTGGGTGTCGAATCTAGGCTCTCAGATCTCTAGCTGACAAGCTCAGCGGCTTTAACCACTGAGCCATGGTACGCTGGCAAAAAAGCAATGGTAGGTTGGCTTAAAACAATCATACTGAATTATGAACCAAGGTGCCATACAAACCAGTGTGGCTGGGTTTGCCAAGGTGAAACCAAACACACATTATGCATTGTCATAATAAGTATACCTGCCTTTCATTATGGAGTATACCATCAAGTAACTATGATGAAATTGTGGCCTTTTTCTTTTTGGAACTTTTTAAACTTTACCAATAGGCGTTCACAGATAACCAGAGTGATAAAGAAACAATGTCATGCCTGCATTGATGCCATCCCTCAAACTCTGTCCTTTAATTCCTGAATCCTGATGTCAGATTAGTCACCAAGATCACATGGCAATGTCATGACATGTTTCTTGATCTCATCTTCCCTCTCCACAAAGTTATCCACTTCCTTTTGGGATTTAAAGCACGTACTGCATTATGCATTTTCTGACTAGTGGTTACTGCAATATATTGGATATGATTAGGCAAAAAAGAAAATGAGATAGTTCAGTTTTACCCCTACAATGTTTTCTACTGTTTCAGTTCCCGTCTTTTTTTCTTAAATAGGAAAATAGAAAAAAGTGCGTCCTCCTACCCTTTATATTTCCTAGGAGTTCCTGGACTCTATAGACGAGGCCCAGAAACATTCATGGAAAATGAATTACTCACAAGGTTTTTGCAATGCACTATTTTCCCTTTTAATTTAGAAGTTTCTGAAACCAAAATAAAATCCCTTATAGAATGGAAAGTGATACCTCATACAGAAGCAAGTTGACATCTGTGAATTGAACACATGGTACAGAGAGGACATTATAAGAAAAACAAGAGCAGCTAATTTTAACTATTCAAACAGAATCAACCCAACCTTATAGCTCAATGTTGCCTTTGTGAACGATATTAATCTAGAATGTTTATTTAATCTATGCTGCAAATTCACTTCTGTCATTTTATTTTCTCTTTTTGAAAACAACAGCTTTGGAAAAGAGCTGAATTAGATGTGTAATCTCTGATCCTGTTTATTCAGCAGTCGAGTTTATTTCTTATCTGCCTGTTGACAAAGGCATGTTCACTTTTTATCTTTTGTTCATATGGGGTGGATCCGGGTTCCATGGAAAAGCTGTCCCAGCTTTTCATGCATGAATAGTACTTCCATAAAACACACTCACACTTTAAATTGTGCCTCGCTTACTGTCTGTGAGCATGGTGTTTAAGTGTATGAGCCAAAGGGAAGCATATATAAATCCAAATATTAATAGCTTCATCAAATGAATACTACAGGCCTCTTGACTATGTAATACAATCTTCCAGGCATGTGGCAAAGCCACTTTTCTGAATCTGAGGCAACTGGAACATAGATTGCGACAAACAATAATGGGAGACCAGAGATCTAGGATCAAGTCTAGCCTCAGCCAAAGAAATACACTGGGTCCTTTTGTCTCAAACCAACATAACCCTTGGAGTTGTTTTTATGGGGGAAGAATGGGTGGGGGAACATTATTGCACACACTCTGAAAATGTGGTATAAATCTAACAAATTTAGAGAACCATTTTGGTGCAACAGGGCTGGAGTGGAAAACAAGAGGTTGTTAGTTCTAGCCCTCTCTAATGCATGAAAGCCAGCAAGATGACTTTGGGCCAGTTGCTCTCAGTTCAACCCATTTCCAAGATATTGTGGCCTCTGATGAATGCCTGCCAATAATTTGACTAACCAGCTAAAACGATAGAAAAAATACCTCCTCTATCTTAACGTTTAGACTATTTTCATGGGCAACTTATAAGGACTTCATAATTTTAAATGCTACTTATCTAATTTGAACTCACCAGAAATAAATTCAAATTACTTATTTAGGATTTATGGTGAACTAAACTCTATCAAAATAAATATGAGTTTCACTTTATTTGGTTCCAGATTCTATAACATAAATCTTGAAATTATTCAGGAATAAAGCCCTAGTTGAATTTTCAAGTATTTCATATTTTTCTAGGCACTTTAGAATATTGGGGTAGCCAATGCAATTGTCTTCGGCTTGTGTCTGTGTCTGTAAGGAGATTCTTTATTATGGTCAATAAGCAATCTGTATATATTGCATAAAGTACAGTAATATTAATTCATTAGCCAAGCATATTACATGACAAAATCTGGCCACATTTAAAGAAATGGTCATTGAGTCTGAAAGTAACAAAAAAAAATCAAAATGACCATGGAATTTGGTTATATATGGAGATAACAGCAAATATCAGCATGAAATAAACATAAGACATATTTGATGATTGTAATGACTTCTCTGCATATATCATCTACATTTGAATGTATTTTCCTCTAAAACAGCTGATGGGAACAGAGCCTCTTTAGTTTGGTGACAGTAATTTTAGATATTGTAGAATGCAAAGGTGATCTGGATGGAATTATACCAGCTCCATTGCCAAGATGACAAAACATATTTTAAGTCTGCCACATCAGATATTTGGAAAGGGCTCAGACCAACACTTCTCTAAATTCATTCAACTAAATTAAAAAATAAAGATTCCCTCCCCGACCCCCAACCATTCAGTCTGAGCTGAAGAAGCTTCTTGGATGAGAAGCGAAACGTCTTCAAAGAAAAACCAGAAAGTTCAGTTGCCTTTTGAAAAAGCACCTTTGGGACAACCATGACCTGAATGACTGAGAATCTCCATAGACGGTGCCCCTTCAGTGTAGAATATTTGCAGGGCTGAAGCAGGTCTTTGACATTTCAAATAACATATCCATATACACCCTACTTGTGACTGGGATGTGAAATGATATTGAGATAGCTTTTTGTCTCATATCCAAGAAACTAACTTATTATCTGAGAAATTAGAATGGTAATATGTTATTTTTACTGTGCTTAAAAACTGAAACGTAAAACTCTGAATTCAGAACTACTTATTCAGAATGCTGTAAAAACATGCATGGGGTGGGAGTATATGGAATGGAGTGAAGGGCAGAAGGAAGGGTAGAAGGAAGGGAGGGAGGGAGGGAGGGAGGGAGGGAGGAAGGAAGGAAGGAAGGAAGGAAGGAAGGAGCTGATTTCTAATTATCTGGTCCCTCAACCAAAAAGTTAAATCTTCTTGATACAATATACAGTAGGTATAATAACTCAACACAAATCTCAAATTTATTGGTTTTTTTCTAGTGTGACAGGTTTTTTTTACTGAAACAATATTTACATGCACATTTTCCAAAAGAAATATTGAAAAATCTAGATTATCATCAAAAGAATAAGTCACATTACTAGAACTGAGTTTTTATCTTTATATATTTTTAATTCCTTTCAAATCCTACTTTATTTTAGAGTAGCATTCTATCAAAATCAGTAATCCAATTGTTTTATTACATTTTAGCCGAAACATTTCATACATGTCATGTTGCGGAAAGCAGGGAGAACTATTTGCAGTTGTTCATGGTTATGGTTGTTCAGTCTCATGAATGAGAACTAGTTTAATTTTACATAAAAGGAATTGTTTTCAACAATTATCATTTAAATGTGAAAAAACAGAACTAGACTTGTTACAGATACGTTTTGTGATGTTGAATGATAATGAAGCTTTTTTTAGCTTCAGAAGTAATTTGGTCAATATACAGGAAGATGATAAAATAATGCATGCAGGTACACATCCAATTCATTTCAAAATGTAGTGCTGTGTTGCATGTGAAACATAATGAGCTCTGTCTTCCTCTTCAGAAGCATAGTCTAAAGGCAAGCCATAATTATAATCAATTGTTACAACTGGTAATCTTTTCCCCTGGCTCATCTCTCTCTTAAGTTCACACTGATGTTCCCTTCCACTGTGCAATGAGATTGAACTCAGTTCCTGATTTGAAGATGAAGAGTGATGGGTTGGATAAGAAGAATATGGAGCAAATCTAGCTTTTCCTCCTCTGTTAATTACATCCGAAGGATGGATTTTCCTGTAATCGTCAGGGCAATCAGATCTATAATATGAAAATAATTATTAATCAAATGTTATAATGAACAAAACAATTTGTAGCAATGAGACATACAAACATTGGTTTTACTTTATTGAAACAACGAATAGCTAATTCGAAGAAACGTATCAGAATATACGTGATTTCACTCAATAGTCTTTAGAGAAAGAATCTTTCAGAATAAATGTAGAAAATGCCTTTTTTTCAAAATACTAATTACAGGTTCTGTGTGATAGTCTTTTCTCATTGGCTTTCTAATTTCTAGCTATTGAACTGAAATATGTGATGGGACAGATGCTCAGGTATGGAAAGTTTCCAATTTGCTCAGTACCCTCGCTATAAGGATTCTTAATCTTTTTAATAACATGTGACATGCTTCATATAAGGGGATGTGGTGGCTCAATGGCTAAGACACTGAGCTTGTCAGTCAGAAAGGCCGGCAGTTCAGCAGTTCAAATCCCTAGCACCACATAACTGAGTGAGCTCCCATTACTTGTCCCAACTTCTGCCAACCTAGCAATTCAAAAGCATGTAAAATGCATGTAGAAAAATAGGGATCACTTTGGTGGGAAGATAATAGCATTCCAGGTGCCTTCACCGTTTAGTCATGCCAATCACATGACCATGGAGATGTCTTCGGACAGCACTGGATCTTCGACTTTGTAACTCAGATGAGTACCGCCCCTAGAACCAGAAACGACTAGCACGTATGTGCGAGGGGAACCTTTTTATGCTTCATATATGTCTTGGAAAACACCCCTTAAATCAGGGCTGTCAAACTCCTGGGCCATGGGCTGGATGCGTCACATGCTAACCATGCCCATACCCGGTTTAGCAAAGGGGAAAAAAGTCCCGATATATCACATGACACTACCATGACCATGTGAGTTTGACACCCCTGCCTTAAATCTACTCACACAGAACTGTTGATTACAAGTAGTTCTCAACTTTCAATCAGTTGCTTAGTGACTGTTCCAAGTTATGATGGACTCCCCAAAAGATACTTATGATCCAGTTTTTAAATTCTGACAGCTGCCCCCCCAATCACATGACTGCATTTGGGGGCTTGGCAACCAGCATGCATTTAGTTGAGACAACGTCACATGGCTACAATTTACAACTTTTTACTAAAAAAAACCTGTTCAATTCCTACTTTTGGCAAAACTGGCTCATAGTGAACAATGGGTTGACTTAATGATCCCAGATTCACTTAATGACTGTGATAATTTGCTTAGTGACTTCTGCAAAAGATGTCATAAAACTGGGTCCGTCACATGGTAGCCTGCTTTATGAGTGTCGTGACTTATAATTGTAATGGGCAGGCTCTATTACAGTCTTAAATTGAGAACTCCTGTATGCAGTATTTCAGAGCAAACCTATGGTATGCATTGTTTTTCTCAGATTAGTACACATTGAATAAGAAGTAGTACTTATGAATATGCCAATATGAATATGACTGTATTGCTAGAATTTAAGTTACGGGGTTGTGCATTTTTTTTGACCATAACTCTTTTAGGAATAAAAATTGCTCTCTCAGATTAAATTAAGAATGCATCAAAATGAAACTCAACTGTTAAATGTTAGCTAAGGTTTTCACCTAACCAGAAGTAAGTCTTTCAAATGATGTATCATGTTCTTAAAAGACTGTCTTCTTGTTTAAATTGAAACAGCAGAACTATATATCATCATACAGTTTTATCATCATACAACGTCTTTTTCAGGATTGGGCTATATTAGGCATTTGAATAGCATACTTGGAGCCAATTTTAATCTTAATTTGTGAACCAAAACAATGTTTTTTATGAACCCCTGTGACGATCACAAGTTTACCTGCAAGTTCTACTATAATTATCTTTATCAGAACCATAATCTCTCTGAAGTAAGGGAGATTCTGAGTAGTACTCATGAGAAGGAAAACGATGGCTTCTGAAAGGAAAAGAACAAACATTTTCAGCAGAATATAATAGTCTAATCAATAAACTAACAAGAAAAAAAATCACATCTCCACCACACTGGCTAAGAAGCTGCTCTATAAAAAGGAAGCATATCCCACATTCACTATCTTGTTACCTACTTGGGTAATGAAATTTCTGCAAGTAAACTACCAAGCTCAGAGAAAAACAAGGACTCAAAAGAGTAAATTGTTAAAGAAGTTATGTAATGAAAGAAAAATTGGTGTGATACTGTACAGGTAATCCTTCACTTATGACGACAATTGAGTCCAAAATTTCTGTTGCTAGTGAGACAGTTTTGCCCCATTTTATGACTTTTCTTGCCAAAGTTGTTAAGTGAATCGTTGCAGTTGTTAATGAATCTGGATTCCTCGTAGAAAGCACACTCACACCCACACAGAAGATGAGACACGACCACGGACCAGAAGTTGTACTGCAGATGCATCACTACCCGTTTCAAACCCATCCGACCCATACATGAAGCGAACTGACGCCCACCACGAAGATGTGGCACGACCAGGAATGTGAAGCCAAACAGCAGGATCACAGCTCACCAGCTCAAATCCCCCAGCAACTAAGACTAACCTGAGCACAACCAAGCCCCCACCTGAACAGAACACATCCCCAATCAGAACACAGCCAAACCCCCACCCAATCAAGTCACACCCCCACTAGCAGTTAAAAGGAAGAAGCAGCTGCAACCTCACATTACTCCAAGAAGCACAAAGCCGAAGACACAAGCCTGAAGATGATGAATGAGATTTCATTGAAACGTCGCCTAGATACTTCCAATTTTACGTGGGAGAAAACCCAAATAACCAAAGATCCACATACAAATATCCGCGAAAACCTCAGAAAATACATACATACATACATGAAACAATAGGACAAAGACAGTAGGCATGTTGGTGCGCTTATGCACGCCCCCTACAGACCTCTTAGGAAAGGGGTGAGGTCAATAGTAGACAGTCTAAGGTTAAAGTTTTTGGGGTTTGGGGAAAAAACCACAGAGTCAGGTAGAGTATTCTAGAAATTGACCACTCTGTTGCTGAAGTCCTATTTCCTGCAATCAAGTTTGGTGCAATTAACCTTGAGTTTGTATCTATTGTTTGCTCTAGTGTTGTTATGGTTGGAGCTGAAGTATTCATTGACAGGTAGGACATTGCAATGTATGATTTTATATACTAAGATTGGACCAAAGGAGGTGTAGTTCTAGGTTTTCTAGGTCTAGAATTTTGAGTCTGGTGGCATAAGGTATTCTGCAATGAATAGAGGAATGGAGAACTCTTGTGAAATATTTCTGGACTTTCTCAACTGTGTTAATATCAGATACGTAATGTGGGTTCCAGACTGATGAGCTGTATTCGAGTATTGGTCTAGCAAATGTTTTGTATGCTCTAGTTATTAGTGTAATATTACCAGAGAAAAAGCTACGTAAGATTAGGTTAACAACGCTTAATGCCTTTTTGGCTATGTAGTTACAGTGGGCTCTAGCATTTAGGTCTTTGAGATGAGTACTCCAAGATCCTTGACAGAGTTTGGATCCTCAACAAGGTCTTGACTATTCAGCCTGTATTTTATTTTCTGATTTTTTTTTGCCAATATGTAGGACAGAGCATTTATTGGTTGAGATTTGAAATTGCCATTTGTTTGACCATTCTGATACATAGTCAAGGTCTGGTAGCAGTATTGTTTGTGGTGTTGAATAGCTTTACACCATCAGCGAAGAGAATGCAGTTGCTCTTGATATGATCACAGACGTCATTTATGTAGAGTATGAAAAGAGTTGGTCCTAGAACACTGCCTTGGGGGATACCACTGTTGACAGGTACAGAATTTGATAGGACGCTCCCAGTTTTGACCATTTGTTGTCTGTTTGACAGGAATGCTTCTATCCAGTTATGCAGATGTCCAGAGATACCGTAATATTTTAGTTTTAGGAGTAGTTTGTCAAGTACCATTGAATCAAAGGCTTTACAGAAGTCTATGTAGATTGTGTCTATTGCTTTGCCCTGATCAAGTTGTGTAGTCCATATGTTTTTGCAGTGTAAGAGTTGCAGATGACATGATAGTTTTTTCCTAAAACCTCATTGTTTATTAGAGAGTAGATTGTCTGTTTCTAAGTGGAGGATGATGGATTGATTAATAATTGATTCCATGACTTTAGAGGTGACGCAGCATAAAGAGATTGGTCTGTAATTTTCAACTAGGCTGTTTTTCTTCTTTTAGTTCTTCTACGTTCTTCTACGTGCCATGATATGTAAACATGTTACAGTATATACATTCTCTTTCATGTTAACCAACATTTTGTAAAGTATAGATAGCTGGGAAGTAAGAAAATACAAGGCAAAGAAATGAGATAAGAAATGAAAAGGAAATTTAGTACCTCTAATTTATGTCTATACCATCATAGCTCTCTAGATGTGTTTGCTTCCATAATATTTATATACAATTTTATACATTGTCATTTATTCTTTAAACTTTTTCTAGAAAGCCAGTGGATCTAGTGGTTAAGGTGCTGGCTAGAAACAATTAGAAACAATAGTCCCACTTTAGGCATGAAAGTTGTGTGTCTGGTTTTGGGCCAGTCACTCTTTCAGTCCAACCACTTTACAGGGTTGTTGTGGGGAAAATAGGAAGAGGAAGGAGTACATATGTATGTATGCTGCCCTGAGTTACTTATAAAGTACCAACTCAGGAGAAAAAACAAATTAATAAACTTCCCACCTTTCAAATAAAGATCTCATTAATTTCATCCAACAGAATTAATTTCATCCAACACACTCCGTGACTGATTTATTCTTCTTTCATATATTTTGCTCACAATTCATTCCTTCTATACGATCAAACTTCCTCAATATGTTTCTTTCATACTGGTAATTCAATTTAGTAGGCAATCCACATTCATTCAGTACCCATTCATTCCTGTTCATGTTTTACCATGTAACTTCAGTAACTTTTTCCCATTCCATTCAACCTTTAAATTTCTTCTGTTATAGACAGTTTTCAGTAAATATTTTCATAACTAATTACATAGTACCTATCACCTTTCTACTAGTAATTGCATGTCTTAAAATTTCTCCATTTCCCTATCTTTACAAAACATTCTAGCGAAGGTTATTCATCTACCTGCATTTTTTCCCACATTTAGGTATAGTTTGCAGTCATTCACTACAAAACTTACTTGATATTAAATACCTTAATTTTTAGATATATCTTTAGATATATCTTGTTACATCATACTATTTACCTATCATTAGCTACAAATTATACAGGATCTCAACAAGGCATTTTCTGCATATAAAAATTCCCGTAATTCATGTCCCCAATTAGCACATCTCTGCATCATCCCAAGCATTCCTTATAAATCCACGAATATGTGACACAACCAAAGAAACATAACACATCCCTTCTTGTTCTCTGCTTGATGCTGAAGTTTGTGCTAAATATTCCATTTATTCTTACATTTGATTTTGTTATTTGTTTATAAATAATTTAGATTTTGTAACTTGCACTCCAGTGACTCTGGTGGTGCACAAAGGAACAGAATAACACCAGACAACAAGAAAGGCAGATGAACATAGACACAGGGAGGCCACATCCCATCTTTGCCCAAAGTCTGGGAAAAGAGCCAAGACTTTAGGGCTCATTTAAAGGACAGCAGGGTTCAAACCTCTCTGGCAGGATACTAGAATGAAACCAATTCCCAAGCACAGTTGGTTTTGTAAGCAAAGCACATTCATATTTAAACATTTCTTCAGTTATGCCATCTGTATTTATCCCATCCATACCATGTACCATCATCTTCCAGAAATGCTCCTCTGAATTGTATTAGGACAATCTTTGTACAAAATAATTAATTTGACATCAAAACTCAAAACAAAGCTAAAGTAATATCAGAGCATTTTAACTTCCCAGGACCTCCTCTAAGCAGATCTCAAAGTGACTGAGGGGAAAAAAAGAATTAAAATACCACCATCAAGTGAGAACTTGTTGAACCCATATTCAATGATTCTGGGTTCAGAAGTTCTCAACAATGGGTTTTTAACAAATTACAATTATTAATTGATAGAGTACTTGTAATCTGACTCATGTGTAGCCTGTATTTGCAAAACCACCAATCTTCCCTTCCCTTTCTCTCCAACTCACCTCAATTTAAATCCGACATCAGTGTACTCACGCCATGCATCTGATAAAGTGAGCTGCAGCTCATACAAGCTTATCCTTTAAATAAAATTTGTTAAACAGAAAAGGTGCTAGACTCCTGTTCTTTTACTACCATCTATACCGGGTTTCCAACAATCTCACAATATGTTTCCCTTTCTTGAATATTTACATCAATAGTTTCAACTTCATTTTTGATGTGGCATTATCATACGAAACTCTAAAATACAGTATTCCTTGCAATAGTCTTGTTTCAGTTTCATTCCCCCAAATTTCATGACTTTTATTTTTAATTCTACTCTGTGTGCAAGATCCTAGTTTTAACCTTCTTCACCCTCTTTCAAAACAATTATTCTTTGCATTTAACTACATTCTTTATGACAATCTTTTTTCTTACATGTACACCAAACAATATTTTCATCATTTTGCAGCAACAATCCTTTCATGTATAATTTCTTTTAAAATACAAGATTCATATATTTTCTTTTTGTAGTTGTTCTACTCCATTTTAATTTGTTTTATTTTTCCTTGTCTTTCATATTCACTTCCTCCCGAAGTCATTCTTCACCCTATCATCTAATGGTCTTTCCTATTATGGATTTATAGAAGTGCATTAAAAAAAATCTGGCTCTGCATAACATGTAATTCAAACTATTAGTAACAAATTAAAAGGCAACGATGTCTGTTTTATTGATTTATACGATCTTTAGTTTTGTTAAAGAAAAAATGAACAATTAATATTATTAAAGCTAATCAATAATTCTTCTCACCTTTCAGAATATTCCTCATATGGCTCATTAATGTGAGTTGAATGATCATTAAAAGAATTCAGCCTTTGTTCAGATCCCCTGTTTTGGAAATCTTTCAGCTGTGACTTCTGACTAAAATCACAGTATGATTGATTATCAAGGAATGGTCTACTTCTTCTATCGGAATCTTCATCATCAAAATCTTCTAATGACAATTTTCTTTTTAATTCACCGTGATGCTGCTGGTCAAGGAAAGGTACCATTCTCTGTCCACACCCTCTAGTCACATACTCAAAATCTCCCATTGGTGAGTGGACATCATCACGAACAGGACGGTTCTGAAATAGTCTTAGTCTTTCCACAGGTCTCTTGTTCAGGAAAAACTGATTTTTGTCCTGCAAGGATGACTGAAAATCATCACTAGACTGCCGATTGTAAAATGGTCTTCGTCTTTCTCCTCGGCCGCCATTGAGCTGGCTATCTGTTGGTTTGTGGTTATAACAAGGAGTGTCAGCAAAATGTCTATGCCTTTGACTACAGTTCATATTAATGTCTCCATCTGATATATTTCCTAGAAAGTCATCATCAAGCTGGTGGCCTTCAAAAGGTTGAAATCTGGGTCCTGGTCCTCTTGTACTAAATGTTAAATCTTTAACCTCCATTTCTTCTTGGTGGTCATCATGAAACTGGTGGTCAGGGAAATGCTTTTGTCTTATTTGTGGCAGTGGTGGCTGCATGTCATCATGAAACTGGTGATCATGATATGGTTTGCGACGTTGCCCAGGACCCTTATTAATAAAATCAAACTCTCTCAGTCGGATCTGTTCTGGTAAGTCATTGGGGCCATCATCATAAGCTCTTAGTCTTTTACCAGGCCTGCTAGGAAAAAAAATTAAGTATTATTTCTTAAGAAAACCAAGTGATAATAGACACTAACAAAAACAAATTCTAAAAGGACAAATGTAATTTGTCAAAGCAGTTTAGAATTTAGTTTGTCCTTAATGAACATCTTCTCTGAACCATATGGTACATGTAAATACACTTATGCATAGGGTCTAATTCTCACTCCCCTTCAAAGCATTTTGAACTTTGAACTTTCAAAGCCTCTCTTTCCTGCTGAGGTTGGGACAGTGAGAAGGCTGGTGAGTTGTCAGTAAGGATTCCAGCTAACCAAAAGGAAACTGCAAAAAATGGAGGAATGAAGTTTCTTACTCTTGACCCATATCCCTGCTTACAGTTTTCTGCATTATTAATAGCAATGTGAAAATACGAAATAAAGCTTGATGATGAGTACGTTAATATTTTTAACATGTTCAAAAATAATCATTATTCCCTCAGGGTTGAATAAAGTATGTGGAATTATACAAGTTAAATTTATACAATTCTCCTACCACATGACGACAAATGCATTTTTGGCAGTTACCTAGGATATTCTTCATTTGGAAATCGATCCATATGTCTGTCTATATCATCTGGCGGTGGCACAATATCTCCATCAGCATCCCACATATTCATTCCCAGGTTGCTAAGGAATTTCAAAAGAGAATATAACACATTTTCTGCTGAGAATACAATGAAAAAAAAGGCAAAAATAGTGTGATTACATTAACTCCAGTGAAAAAAGAGAGAAAAGTTCTCAGCAGGAGGTATAGCATAATTCTATTGATTATAGGATACTTTTCAACAGTCCCTCCCTGAAATGGCTGTATTCTTGTAGGTATTTTCTGTCAGCATATCAACTACCTAAATCTTTTAGGTTTCTCCACTCGTTTTCCACTTTGTTAATCTGGAGTCTATTTATAGAATGTTTAAAAAGGCAATGATTATTCTACCTTTTGTGATCAAATTCAGAAAAAAAAGACACTGAAGTTTATTTAAAATGTGTCAGAACAGAAATGGAACATATTTGACAGGAATAGGACTAGACTCACCTTCTCATTGGTTGAGTTTTAAGATCTGCCAGATATATATGACCATCTATATGGTGACCACGTGCATCTCCAAAAGCTAAACGGCAAGAACATAAGTTATGTGAAACAGGGCTCTCAGTGAAGAATGGACAAGCTATTGAGAAAAGTTCAATAATAGCATATAATTCTAGAAATTGACTTCTGTTTTTTGGAATTTTGATAGTAGAAAATGCTCTTTTAAAACCACAACCGCAACAGGATGTTTATCATATAAATGTTCCTATATGCTGAGGTTAGCAAATCAGGACTAGCTCCTCCTCAAAAGTATTTTTTCTAATTAAGCTCAAGCAAAGATTGTTCTTAATATTGTTTACTAAACGTAATCAAAGTTCTCATTTAATACTAAATTGAAACTTCCTTAAATTTGCCCCAGTGGAAATGGTTATCAGATAAAAGAATATTGAAGAAAGTTAAGTTGTCATAATAACTGCAGTGACTTGAAATTGTGTGTGTGTGTGTGTGTGTGTGTGTGTGTGTATAATTATGTATGAAATGCAATAGGAATTCTTGATTATTACAAAAAATGCCTGTATGAACTTCAGTTTCATGCATTCATAAAAACACATTTATGTTCATGATAAGGATTTTTTCAAATGCAGTATTCTGCTTCCCAGTGGCCAATCAGATTACTTTAGTCCAAAAATAGACTATAAAGTCAACAGTATTCAGACTTCTTTTTACCTTTGCTTTCGAATTGACTAGATTCCTCTTCCTATCCTTATATATGAACTGTTTCTTGTTCTTAATTAATTAAAAAAAAAGCTAGAATCAAGTTACAGCAGCTTTTGAATTACTTCTTTGTATCCCCAAGAGAGAAAGGAAAAAAAAAATCTTCCTACAAATCTCTGCTTATAAAATAAACTATGTTTGTTATTGCATCCAAAACTGACCAATGCCTTTCATTGGAGTCCTATATTACACTTTTTTTAAAATCACAAAACTTATCTATTGCTATGAATATTTCTTGTATGTCTGCCACAGCACTATGATTTTGGTATCAGTCAATACACAATAAATATAGAGACCAATGTATAGGTAGTCCTTGACTTTCAAACACAATTGAGCCCATAATTTATCTTGCTAAGTGAAACATTTATTGAATTTTGCCCCTATTTTATGACCTTTCTTACCACAGTTGTTAAGTGAACCACTAAGTTAAATTAGTAACACAGTGGTTACGTGAATCTGGCTTCCCCATTGACTTTGCTTGTCAGAAAGCTTGCAAAAGGTGATCACATGACCCCAGCAACTGTCATAAACGTGAGTTAGTTGCCAAGTGTTTGAATTTTGATCATGTGATCATGGGGATGCTGCAGCAGTCAGAATTGTCAAAACTGTCATAAGTCACTTTCTTCAGTGCCATTGTAACTTGAATGGCTGTTAAGCGAACTGTTTTAAGTTATAGGCTACCTGTAGCAAGAGAATTGCTTATTTGCTAGGCAATTTTGCAGGGACATGATGCCACAAAATAAACTTTCCACAAATGTTGCAAGCAGTATTAGATCTGGACTACTTAATGAAATTATATGAAACATTTTTCCTTTTTTTATAGAAGTGCAAGGTGCTTTTGTACATATAGGATAGGGCATTTCCATTTCCAATTTCCTGCTGGAATTCTACGAAGCCCATTTTTGTGTTATGAACTTGAGAGCGAAAGCAGGGGAGAAAAATTTTCAGTTCACATGTGATACTTTGGGAAGTGATCTTTTAGTTCTCAGTTACAACAACTCATTCACTATTGCATAACCTGGGATTCTGTTAAAAGGCACATAAATACCTTGGATTGCTGTTTCTGGATCCCAACCTTCAACATCAATAAGATATCTAAAGAAACATAAATACAGTTATGGATTACCCAACTTTCACTGGAGTAAAAGTACCGTAATTATGTAATGTTTGTTGTGACACTTACCTGCATATAAGGTAACCTGTTCTATTAATTCCATTTGTACAATGTACTCCAATGAGTTTTTCTATTGGAAAGCAAAATGAAAATTAAACAATGCAAACATATAGTGCTAATGCATGATACAAAAAAGTTAAAAAAAGAATATTGCTCTTTAGTAGATTCATACAATTACATTTCTCTGATTCAGAACTGGAAAAAATGGGAATTCAGAAGCAGGTTGTGCAACCTCTGCTACATGTGCAAGGTTCCTGCTAAGTGTGATCAAGAAGAGACAAAACAGATATAACTAAACACTTCTTAGATCAGGGTCTCCAACCTTGGCAATTTTAAGCCTGGAGGACTTCAACTCCCAGAATTCCCCAGGCTTAAAGTTGCCAAAGTTAGAGACCCCTGTCTTAGATTATGAGAGGGGTGGAATAAGTCTTGAGATGGCTTTTTCTTTGGTTTACAAGTGTTTTATACTATTAAAGTTGACACCAGAGGTGACAGCTTTGTTAATGTGCATGCAGTTTGGGAAGGCCTTGACTCAAAATTACAATGGATTCCCCCAAGAGTTACTTACAGCTTACAAGCATGTGATCACATTTTGGGCATTTAGCAACTGGCCTGCATTTATGGTCATTTGAAGCACTCTGTTTATGACAATTTCATCGGAAACTGGTGTTACGCCTGGTTACTGGCAAAAACCAGCCCATAAACGTCCACAACGCTAGCTTTACAACTGCCATGTTTGCTTAACGATCACCACAAAAAAAGTCATTAAATCAGGTTGGTCATGTGATGACCCACTTTATGATTTGCAACTGTAATTGTTAGGTCGTAAGTTGAGGACTACCAGTATATTAGGTAAAAACTAGCACTTTTTCATAACCAAGTGTGGGTGCAAGACATCCCATCAGGCTATGGTTGATGTTTCTGAATTAGAATAATATGGATATATAAGGGTAATTATTCCTATATGATGGCTGGAATCTAAAGAAATACACAACTTCAAATTGTTCTGGCTCTCTAGTATGAAATTATAAAGGCTGTTATTTACCATTGTCTGCATTTTCCCATAGGAATTTTCTGACCCATTTTTTAAATTGTAGAATAGTAGGATCATCTGGGACTTCAAGTCCTATAGTAAAAAGTTTCTTATACTCCACACTTTTGGGCAAATCCTAGCAATGAAAAGATGAACAAATACTATAGTTAATATAGTAATTGATGACTAAAATCTTTTTCAGAGAGTATTTTAATATTCATTTTTAAAAGAAATTAAGTGCATAATGGCATTAAGTGAACAATCCTATTTTTGTATGTTGCCGCAACCTCAACTTGTGTTAGTACAAATTGACCTCCAAACACATAACTGAATGTAACTGCTGTGAAGGAGATCTTTACATTTTTTCCCCTCCCTACATTGCAATATTTAATAGGAATTCTGGTAGTAAGAGCACCTGTGAATAAAGCCAAATTGGTGTATTGTATGTAACAGCATGGCTAGTCTATTGATTTTAAAAGTGTTATCAAAGGGCTGTCAAACTCGCAGCCACGCCCACACCTGGTTTAATGAAGAGGAAAAAATTCATGATATCACATGATGATGCCGTGACGATGCACATTTGACACCCCTATGTTATTATGATCACACTCTGATGTCACTTGAAAATACTTTTAACATTTTTTTCCAGTAATAACATTTTATGAGGTTACTTAAAAATAGATATTTCATTGTCTAACTGCCTCCATGACAATTGTAAGGGATGCCTGCAATTTTTAAATCATCCCTTATTTAGTTGTTTGTTTATTTATTCAGTTTCTATAGCTGCCCAACTCAGCTAAGTGACTCTGGGCAGCTTACAATTCTAAAATTATAAAATAATTTAAACAATTGAAAAAAAACGCTATAATAATGAAAACATCTGTAAAATAAATAAGTACAAAGCAGGTCTTATGATTAATCGACTCACAGTAAAGTCAAGTAATAGGTCCCTTAATGCTTTCCAAACCTCAGGCCCAGGTACATAGCAAAGATTTTAAAGTTTTCTGAAAAGCCGTTTGGCACCATTCTAATCTCCAAGGGGAGAATATTCCATAAGGCAGGGACTACAGCAGAAAAAGGCTCTCCTCTAGTTCCCGCTAGTCAACACTCTTTGGTTGACAGGATCTGGAAAATGCCCAATCTGTTGGATTGCACTGGCCAGGTAGAAACTCTTGGAAAAAGATGGTCCCTTAGGATATCTGATCTCAAATCATATAGTGAAGATGATTAAAAAGTGATAACCAGAATCTTGAATTACATCTGGAATCAAGCAGCTCAGTTTGATTTAAAATCATTAAATATTTTTGATAAATCTTTGTGAGAAAGACTACTACACTGTCTCACCAGATTCTAGTGAATTTAGTGGGACTAATTTCAGAGTGGTCACATGCAGGATTGTGCTGCCAATCTCCCTCTCAATTAATATTCCACTAAAGTAATCAAATGCATAATTCTAATATTCCATTGCAAAGAAACTATGAGAAATACTTTCATTCAAAAAGAGTAGAATACATTTTAAGATTTTTAGTTCTTCAAAATGCATAGTAAAACCAGAGGTGGAATTCAGCAGGTTCTGACCAGTTCTGAAGAACTAGTAGCGGAAATTTTGAGTAGTTTGGAGAACTGGCAAATACCACCTCTGACTGGCCCCGCCCCATCTATACTCTGCCTCCCAAGTCCCAGCTGATCCCAGCTCAGTCCTGTCCTATGGACATCCTATCTACTATCATCACTACCAGAGTACCAGAAATTTCTAGAAGAAAGTCAGCTAGAGCTCACGTGCTGACTCAAAGGATCAATCAAAATTTGAATTGAAAAAGTGGACTACTTCCAATAACATACAGTAAAATGTCTACACTGTTGGCAACATTCCCTGGTGTGAATTTTATTGGTAACTCATTGATGAGTTGCTAACTAAATTTTCTCCATCACTTTGCTGTGCTTTGGTTTAATCTCAATTTATAGCATTCAATCTCTGGTATCATTGCAGATTTGTTCCATTAAAAGGGATCTACAGAAGCTCTGGCTCTTTTTTTACTTGCCTCTAGTATTAAAATCTCACATCCAAAAATGTGAACAAAATCGATTGGTGCTATATTCTTGCTGTGATAACGATATGGGAACATAAATTCAGAGAGGCAATTGCCAACCATCAATCAATAATCCTAAACCTAATCCATTTGGCAGGAAAAAAGCATGAGACAGCCAAAATAAGCAGATGTAATCCGTTGGTGCATGAAATTCAGGGGAGAGTAAAAACTTGCAAAAAAAACCCACAAGAAACAAAAGTGCAAAGGGAGAAAACTTCCATGATTCAAAACACTGCTCAATATTCAGCAGATTCTGACCAGTTGTGGAGAACCGGTAGTGGAAATTTTGAATAGTTCAGAGAACCGGCAAATACCATCTGTCACTGCCCAAATCTATTCTCTGCCTCCCAAGTCCCATCTGATCAGCTGGGTCTTCTTTTGTTGCCCTGCACAGGGTTAGGGAGCTGGAAATCAGGTAGTGGGATGGGGAGGGAATGGGATTTTGTAGTAACCTTCCCCCAGGAGTGGGGAGGGAATGGAGATTTTACAGTATCCTTCCCCTGCCACGCCCACCAAGCCATGCCCACAGAACAGGTAGTAATTTTTTTATAATCCCACCACTGAGTAAAATAGTGATATACTAGATAACCTAACATTTGAGAATAATTCCTTACTGTAAATACAAATTTATGTACTCAGAAGATACTGCCATATTCACAATAGAAGCATATGCAGATAGTTCTTGACTTACAATTCATTTAGTGACCATTCAAGTTACAACAGCAATGAAAAAAAGTTATTTATATCCATTTTTCACACTTAGGATCATTGCAAGCATCCCCATGAACACATAATCAAAATTTGGATGCTTGGCAACTGGCTCATATTTATGATGGCTGCAGTGTCCCAGGGTCATGTGATCACCTTTTGCAATCTTCTGACAAAGTCAGAAGATAGATCACTTAACGACTGTGTTCTAGGTTAATAATTACAGTGATTCACTTAACAACTGTGCAAGAAAATGGGGCAAAACTCACTGAACTTAGCATTGGAAGTTTTGAGCTCAATTGTGATCATAAGTGAAGGATTACCACATGCCTTTATTGTTTGTGAAGAATTGGCCATTTTCTTCTCCATGATTCGTACTTCAATTTGTATTTTTTCCAGCTTCAATGATCTGCATTCTCTCTACAGTACTTCCAGTTCTGCATATGCAAATCTAACATTATATTTTTTTTATTCTGAAATCTTAGCGCATCTATTTTTCTGTTCAACTTATATCATATACTGAACTCTAAGTTCCCAATAAAGGATGTACCTTATTGTACTTTGCAAAACATGTTTGACATGAATGACATGGTACCATTAACTAGCATAATAGAATCCCTCCTTCCTTATTTTTTTAACTTTCTTTTTTCCTATGCTACTTACAACTTAACCCAAATTGAAAGGACTTTGAGCCATACGCATCAAGTAAACAGAAAAACATAGTAGGAAATAAGTAAATTCTTATAAATGTAAAAAAATAAAAAATAATCACAAAAGAAAGGCTAAGTTATAAACCAAGATGACCATCCAGAGTCAGCCATGTGGACTCAAGGTAACCTGGAAATAAAATAATTAAAACTGATCTAAAGAACTACAACAGAGTGGGTGCTGCATATATTTCTTGGGAAAGATCATTCATAAAGTTGAGGATGCTGTAGAGCAGTGATCCCTAACCTTTCTGGCTCTGTGCATTGGCAGTGGCAACAGCTCAATGGCAAGGGGGGAGGGGATGGTTTCATACACGTGCCTGCCATTTGCGCCAATGGAGCTTCATGAGCTCGCCTGCAACTTGTGTGGCTCAGTTCCCAATGGGCCACAGACCAGTACTGGGCCATGGACTGGGGGTTGGGGACCCCTGATATAGAGAATACCTACTATCTCTCTCATGCTTATTAACTTTTTCTTGATGAACGGGCCAGGTGGGTAGGTTCATTTCTGGCAAGGCATTGCCTTTATAGAACAGTTTTTCTCATGGTGAAAATTAAAAATTCCATAACAACTTGACCTATTTCTAAGTCAGTATTGGAGAAAAAGAACCCCATGGGCCAAATGTTTTTATTATCCGCAGCAAATATTAATTTACAATTACCTTGATACCATAGTATCTTGTTGTATATGTTAAATCAATGATTAAGCCAAGCTCCGCATTGAAAGCTTTCACCGCAGCAATCAGATCTTTTGGTGTAAACCTTTGAGTTGGTGTAAGTCGCTGATTGATTGCCTAGGATGGAGAAAAAAGAAAGTAAGTACAGTATGGAAAGATATTCTTATGCATATAGAAAAAAATGATTCGTTAAATTAAAAAAAGTCAAAGTGAAAACAAAACATAAGCATTCAGAACAATTAGGTAGTTTCTAAGCAACAAATGATTTATTTAAAAATAAATAGCAGTCCTTTAAGGACTGAAGTTGTTTTTCTTTTCACTCTAGTTGTATGTACTCTTTTACTACAGGGTGATACTGTATAGGGATAACAATAATAAACATTTCATATTTTACATCCGACTGAACAAATGCATAGACTCTGAAAGCATCTATCCAATGCCATGATTCTGAATTAACCATGAATAAGTTACCTGTTGTTCTACGGAGAAGTAGGGAAATAGTGTCTAGGTAGAATAGGTAATTGTGAAATAAACATCCTTTATCTTTGCATTTCCATCTTTTTGAAGTATATTTCACAATTTATAAATCTGTATATTCTTAGATAATATTACTATTTAATAGATACAGAGTTGCTTCAACAGTAAGATAGGTGGCATATAAATTTAATAAATATATGGCAAACAGAAATGCCCTCTTTTCCACTTTTGAGAAACGTCATCCATAGTAGAATTAGGAACAGTGTTACCCAAATTGGAAAAAAAATGTCTGTTCTACCTATTATGTTTTCAAATTAATTTATATGTGAACCTTTTCATCAGCTTTAATGAGTAAGCAAAGGCTAAGTTATATGAATAAAAATGTAAGAGGAGTAAATGTACAGCATGTGTACAAGCATATGTATATACAAATTAAATGAAATAAAAAAGAAAAATATATCTTTGTAAAAGTAAAATGGAGAAGAATGTAGTAAGATCTAAATAAAAGTAGGTTAATGTTGAAGTGCTTGAAATGGAGTTAATGAACATGTGCATGAAAGTACAGGTTTAATTATTAATGGAAAGGTTTATAATGTATGTGAAAACTATGAATTGATGTCACTAAGGTTTCTGTGGGTGTACTGAAAGTAGAAATCCATTGTTTGATGACAGCGTGGTGACAGTTGCATGTTATGTTTCAGTGAAAGACAATAATGGAAGAACCAGGGGGTGAATTAGGGGAAATTTTGTGCAATATTCTGGATGAATTTGATCACAGAAAAATGTGCAATTAGGGAATTGAAGGTTAGCTATTTAATGCCAAAGAGTATCAAAAGTACAAGTACAGTGTTCTGTACTTGTAAGTTTATTAGATTTAAAAAGCAACAACTGAGGGAGGATATGATTCCCTTATTAAAGTAAATGCCGACCATGCTATCAAATACTCCATAGTAGAAGTAGCACTGATGACAGATGGACTGTGTGAAACCATATAATTGGTCTTATTTAATAGTACACAAAAGGCTCTTATCCTCTGAAGGGAAGGTTAATAGTCAGGTCTCCAGAAGTTCAAACTTAACTACAAAGTGCTACATTTTTGGCCAGTGTACTCTGAAACACTTCTTTAGAACTGAATCTGTATTATTGCACAGGTTCTACTTTTAGCCAAATATTGATTGTATAAAATGAATATCACTTTACTGATTCTCTTTTGTAGTTAATATAACTTCATATAAATAATTTTATACATACCAGTTTTAAGGGTACTTTAAAAGCAATAAATCGAGTTCCTGGTATAGGTTGTCCAACTGATGATACATTCCTCCATCTAATAAAAAGAAAAGACCTTTAAATATAGAAATGATGAAAAAATATGATTGCAATGCTTCATAGAAAACAATATTGCCCTGATTATTTTTGTAAATAGAAAATTGCACTGGATCTAATGAAATCTTAATGCATGATCCAACCACTTGTGAACTTCACGGACTTCAGCCACATTTAGAGTACTGTAAGAAGACGTTTTCTTAATGTTTTGCTTGATATACCACAGAGATACGCAATCTGAGACCAGGGGCTATAAGCAGCCCTCCCAAATCTTGGCTAATGTTTCCAGAGCCCCTCCAAGAATTTTGCCAACTTCTATTTTTTTAACGGGACAAATCAGGGACAAATTAAATATATGGGGAATAATTACATTCAATTTAAATGAAATTCAAGACAAGGGATTTGTGCCTGGTCTCATCAACGTTTATGCATTTATAATGAGTCTGCCTTAAAAATAATACAGAAATTTCAATTACTCCAAAATACGGCTATTGTTATCTTGGACTGGTATGTAATGATTCAATAAGAATAGAATAGAACAGAATAGAACAGAATTCTTTATTGGCCAGGTGTGATTGGATACACAAGAAATTTGTCTTCGTGCATGTGCTCTCAGTGTACATAAAAGAAAAGATACATTTGTCAAGAGTCAAGAATCATAAGTTCAACACAATAATAGACATAGGGTACAATAAGCAATCAAATACTAGGAAACTAGAAAAAAAATTGTTAGGCTACAAGCAACAAGATTACAGTCATACAATCATAAGTGGGAGGAGATGGGTGAAAGGAAGGATGGGAGGATTAATAGTAATACTAATAGTAATGCAAACTTAGTAAATAGTTTGATAGTGTTGAGGGAATTATTTGTTTAGTACCTGTTCTTGTGTCTAGTTGTTCTGATGTGCAATGCTCTATAGCATTGTTTTGAGGGTAGGAGTTGATACAGTTTATGTCCAGGATGTGAGGGGTCTGTAAATATTTTCATAGCCCTCTTTTTGACTCGTGCAGTATACAAGTCCTCAATGGAAGGCAGGTTGGTAGTAATTGTTTTTCCTGCAGTCCTAATTACTCTCTGAAGTCTGTCTTGTTGGGTTTCAGAACCAAACCAGACAGTTATAGAGGTGCAGATGACAATACATCAATGTTTCATTATCTCCGATCTGTTTTGATACCCAATTAAACATTCTGATTAAAGATTTGGAATCAAGTTACCAACAGAATCATATGTAGTTAACAAAACAGGACTAAGTTCAGTAAGACCTTTGGCCCCACTATTCAGTGGGCCTCTTTTTCCTTCTGTGCAGCATGTTCTGTTGGTGGTGCTCCAATTTAATTTTTTGACAGTGCATCCCAGAGCCAAAAAGGTTTATTAAAATAAGTACATCTTTGATGGCATCCCAAGCAGAGGAATGACTTCTGCAGATAGACATACTTGTGATGCCGAACTTTAAAAAGTAAACTTTTAAGTAATCTTTCAGTTTAAAATCGGTATAAAATTAAAATACATCATTGCTGTATTTTGTCAACTGCTATCTGGGTCTAACTTATCTTTTTCTTTTTCTCTTTTTAATTTGCTAGGTTTACTGGGCAACATATAAACACCCTTAAGAGTAAATTGCAGAAAGATTGCACTTCCACTCAGAGCCAATTATTTCCCACTCTAAATCAGTTAAAGTAGTTTTGTATGGAAAATATTTAATAGTAGATACATCATAATTGTCAGGCATGAAGATCAGGTCTACATGTGAAGGTCCAATTAAACTATTTATTGCTAGTTACACCAATGTACAAGAATATTCTCAACTAAGGGTTAGAACTTGATAGGAGTAAGGGTCAACTGAATTCAAGAAATTTGGACTTAGCTCGTTTGTGGCTATGTAGATTCTAGGCTCATCCTTCTTTTAACTCCACCCCCAGATTCTGTCACTCCTTCCCTTTCAAAATTGCTATAATAATCTCATAACAAATAATAGTTTAGTGAGCCAAAGTTACTGAGTGGCTGAATATCAACAATATATATCTGAAACTTTAAATGATTAAATGAATGAATCCAATGTATTCTTCAGGTTTTTAATCATATTATGCATTTTTATATTTGGATAAGAACGTTTATAAAAATGGAGTACATTTTTCACTTATAGCTGTTTAAGCTTTGCAATTATTTTAACCTCCAAAAAACCCACAAACACCACAAATAAGTAATAAAATATAAAGCTAAAGATGTACAAGGAAATGACATGGTACTCTGGACCAATTTGTTTTTCATCACTATACCACTGATCCAAAGTAGAATATGTACAAGTATATAATATGGAATAAAAAACCCATCTTCTAAACTCTAACTACAGAGCAACATGAAGAACTAAATTGTCTACGGTAAGTGTAGTTAACAGCTTGAGATTGTACCTTTCAAGATATCAAGCTATTTGAAGTTTTTTTCTGTGGGGTGCCCCTCATCTCTTTGTTGTTTTTTAATTCGGTTATTTTTTGTTATTGCTTGTTTTCAACAGCACTTATCATAATCAAGGCTAATCTGGATTCGTTGGCTAGATTTTTCTCTTCTAACCATTATCAGAAATTTGTTACATTTATTTGCCACCCCCTCATTCTAAAAAATATTAACTATTAATATTAACTTATTATATTAATATTAATTAATATAATATTAATATATTGACTCAAATAATATTGCCCAATTGTTCATGAATAATTTATAGGATAGAGGACTAGATGCATTCCTGATTATACACAGTAACTGCCTATCTCCTTTTTTTTTTTTCCAGGTTGGAAACATACATCTTCTTAATGTAGATAATTTCAGTTTGGGGAAGACATTAGTGCAGGAAATATAATAGGACACAGAAGCCAGTTCAAATGCTATTGTGAAGCCAATCTGCTTTCACAACCCTCCAAACTATCAGTTGTGTACCACGAAGATGACCTTCTCAAACATGATCAAACTGTAAAATGATTATTTCTTTAGTCCCATCCCTTGCTAAAAAGGCAGAAGTTTTTGTATTTGTAATAGAAAAGCAGAAGTTGGGTAGCAGTTAGGTACAAAAAAAATGTTTTATGCCTCCGATTCCAGGTTGTACTCTAAATAAATCTGGAAAATCCAGGAAATCAAACCAGAAACATTTGTTGTGGTGATGTTTCTAAGGAATAAGGAAGATGTTCAATTAGAAATTGTACAGTTTACTTTCCTTTTGAAGGTGCATTGCTATTTAAACTTTGTCTCTGGTATCTAATACCATTAAAAGAAATTCATTATACATGGAACCACTTTACATCAAAGCTGTCTCTAAATTGGAACAAACAGTATCACTTTGTTTGTCCCATATTTTTTTTTTCTGTTGGAAATTCATTTAAAATGCAGTATATATTTTTGAAAATTTTATCTTTTCCACCATTGTTTTGCATGAGACCAATATTTTAAAAATGTTTTCAATTAATGTTTAATTCTTTAAAAAAATTGTGACATTCTTCCAGAAAGAGGAAGCAAATGAGCAGTTTCTGCTAATTACTGGTACTTCACAGCTATGGAACCAGGAAATGGTATTATATACTTTATTTTTCCCTCCTTTTTCCCTTTTAAAAGAAAGAAACAAAAGTTTTTGGAAACCCTATCTTTCTTTCATAAGGGGTGATGAAGTTTGCTAAATGAGGTCCTTCCTTTCTGGTGACAAGAAAAATTACCAAGCTATATAGACCATGTTAAGCTTTGTAGATCATTCTTAATTTTTTATCAGATGAGATCAGCTCTGCTGTTATATTCAAAAACTAGGTTGCTATTTTTCAGAAAAATCAAAAGACATATTTCACCAGCAGTAGCTGAAAAAAATAATGTGAAACTGTCTATTTCTTAAAAAAATAAAACAGGGTTCACAATTTTACTTTATCTTCCTGTTGTAACTATAGTGAAAGGATTCACACAACCTATTATCTGACAAAAAGCTATTAATTAAAATGACTTTAATACCCTTATTTTTTTTATGTGCTTATATATCCCAGGTGTTCATAATTGATAACTATAGTGGACTGGTGAAAATTTGCTGAAAAGTTTTATTGGACACACTAGTCAGAAATACAAATAGTTGAATTCCAGGACTGAAGAGTGGTCTGACAAAATGTGTATGTATTTGATTTTATGTGTGGTTGTTTATATAAAATGACAACAAAACAATGGTGGTTCATAAAATGATTAGCACCTCATATAATGATACTAGATCTTTAACATAAACAACTCATATAACAACGCAAAACAATAAAAACATGATAATGCCAGATATATGAAATAATTTTAATATTATTTTCACAGGATATTTTGGAATTGGTTGCAAAAAAACATTTAAAAACCTGACTTAAGTACTTGTTCAAGCATATTCCTCTGCATTTGTAGAAATGTTTTATACCATTGACTTTTGACAAAATAATCATTTTGCAAGATATTCTAAAATCTAAGAAAATAATGAAAACTTTTCAGTGTTATTACAAAAACAATTATATAAAAGCATATTATTACTTCAATTATTATGGAAATGACAGCTTCATTAACAATATAGAAATTGAAACTGAAATGTTTGTTGGCTTCAGATCTACATAAAAGCTAAAGATTAAGTATTCATTTTTTAGATTTGTATCCCACATTTATTATTTAATAAGTAACTCAAGGCAGTGAACATAGATAAAACTTCTTCCTCCTCCTATTATCTGTGGGAACTATGAGAGACCACCACAATTATCCCCACAACAGTCCTGTGAGGCAGGTTGAGCTGAGAGTGATTGCCCAAAGTCACCCAACTGGCTTTCATGCTTAAGGTAGGAATAGAACTTAAGAGACTCCTGGTGTCTAGACCAGACCCATAACCACTACATCAAACTGGCTCTCAAATATATGACAATTATATTACATTACATTAATCAAATACATTTTGTTTCTCATATAAACACAAGAGAAAGTTCCTTACAATAAAAGAGAAAAGTGTATATACTTACAAACAATATATCCACTGTAAAGAGATACTTTAACTACAGAATTACAATTTTCTTTTACTTTTATTTATTAAGCCAAAGTACAAATAATTATAACAGACATGGGATGAAGATAATACTGTAAATTAAATGACTATAAACACTGTATCATAATAAATGTGCAAAAAATCAAGTATATAACCTCAGAACAAAGTGATGTTTACTCGTTCCACCATCAAAAATTCATACACACACATACACATATAAAATCAAAATCTTATGTACTCAATGTGTATTTTTACTCGTGTGCAATTTGTATATATCTACAGTAAAGTATAAAAATAAAAAACAGACAACTGAATTTAACTCTTTAAATGCTACCACAAAACTCAAACAGTAATGATTTCCAAGCTTCAATATGTACTAAAAGGATACATATGAATATCAGTAATGTATACTGAGCTTAATATGACACAAGTTATCATTATTACAATGCTGAACGTATGTATAGCTCAATGTAAAAGAGTAATCACCACAGCTATTATTTTTGAATATCGAGTTACCTATTAAATCTGCCCTCGTCCATAATCTTATTGTGAGTGAGGGCATCAACCTGGTGTGTATTATCAAGACCTGTGTGGGCCCAGAAGAGGGTAATCTCCTTTGGTTAATATGCCCATTGTTTTATTTATTTATTTATTTATTTATAAATTGCATTAAGTTTCCAAATTTTAAAAACATAAAACTTGATACATTATCAACATCAAGACATTTTGCATCTCCTCACATTTTTCAGTATATGTATTTACCTATTCCTTTACCATTACATCTTACTCTTACTATAAATCGGTATCTTTTATCCCTACATCTCAATTTTCCATTGTTGTTTTAGGTTTTGCATCAGCCGAGACCCCAGGGAAGGATGGCTACTATTACCCACAAGTTGTCGAACGTGCTCTGAGGCTCAGCTCTGCAAATGATCAAATGAGAGTGTCTCTGGTTGAAGTTAAGCTTTCAGAAATTACTGCTACTGAACTGTCCTCTTTGCTGCACAGCATCATCTTTGCTTGAGTTGCTATATTCCATTGCTGGGTTTGGAATGGAGTCCCTGAAGCTGGTAATTCTCAGGGACTTTAGGTCATCTTCTTGGAGACACTGAATCCAGAGTGGCTTAGGAGCTCTTGGCTTCCAAGCTATGATGCACCAATCTTAAGTGAGGCCTGATGCATATTAGGGATTATACATTTGAGTTGGTTTTTGTCTTGGGCAATTATGATAAGATCTAATGTTGGAGGATATTACTATCAGTCCATTGACATGGACTGATCACTCTGTGGTTGCCCTCTTGCTCACTGATGCCAACCACTCCAGCAGGATGATAGGGCCTGTTCAGTGTTGCATCCAAGTTGACCAGATGGATTCTAATTACAGAGTAGCTTGGGATTTTCCTTGAAGGTCTAGTAGGTAGTTCAGCCAAGGTCTTTGTTGCAGCCTGGAACAGCCCAGTGACTTGAGGCCCTGCACCCATAGCTCCTTTGTCACTTGAGTGGTGATGACAGGATGTACTTTGATTTCTGAGGAATTCTGGAGATGACGTGCCAGAGAGATGCCTAGAGTTGGAGGCAGACAAAGTGCTAATTGTACTAAACATGATTAACAGCCCATATTTGGGTGAGGGAGGCAAACCATTATTTCTCTGCCCTTTTTGTGTCTATAGATACCTGCCCTGTCTAGAGTGATCCATTTTTTTTCACTGGGGGAGACACAACCTAGGAATATAAGGAGCTATGGTGACAAGCATTCATGCTATCTATAGATATTAGATAGATATAGATAGATAGCATTCATGCTATCTATAGATATTCCTTAAACAGATCTATGTAGCATTGTCTAGTTTACAGACATCTGATGTTATTTGCCCTAATTCTGTGACTCCTGACAAAGTCCTCCAGAATTGTGAATTCAGTAACCTGTTTTTCAGATTTAGGTTCTTCCTGAGTTGTTAAGATGGAAGATAACATGTGGTCATGGCCATGCAATGGTATTGCTCTCTCTGATGAAGGTGATGGTCTCTCCAATGTTGAAGGAGGCAGTGGGTATACCCATTCTCAGGGGGCCATTGCTGGACTTTACATTGTGAACAGTTACCATCCAGCTTCCAACCTTCCCTTTGTGTGAAGGTTCTTGAGAAGGCGATTAGAAGCGATTGCAGAAAGTCTGGAGGAAGCAGATTATCTGGATCCATTCTGATCAAATTTCAGGCCAGGGTAGAGTGCTGAGACAGTATTGGTTGCACTTGTTGATTATCTCTAGCAGAGCTGAAATGAAAGCAGTGTCGCCATCCTTTTGCTTCTTGATCTGTCAATTACAGTATCCTCTTGTACTGGGCTGTGTGAGTTGCAAGAACTGTGTTGAAGTGTTTATATCCTTCCATTGCAGTCCTTCCTAGTTTCAATCTGGATTGCAAGTGTGAAGTTGTCACTATGCTAACCACTCTCTGGAGACTGTTTGGATCTGGATGGGGAGGAACAGATTGAGACTTGATCCTGATCTCACATAGTGGCTAGGGCTATCTAGGCCCCCTAGATTTGGGACATTTTCATTTTTGGTCTTAGACTGCATTCTCCCATTTGAAACTAGCATGCAATTTGGGGCTCCTGGACTTGCAGGCTACTATTGAAAAAGCCTGTGATAGCTATGATCAGGAGGATCAGTGTATAGGTTCACCTTATTCACTGCTGCACCCTCCTTGCCTTAACTGTGAAGTTCTTCAGAAAATTACTTATGTCTTATTATCTCGTGATCACTACTACAATACAGGTTACATGGAACTGTCCTTGAAGACCATCCAGAAGCTTTATCTGGTTCAAAATGCAGTGGCACAGGCAAGTAATAGGCTTCTTGCATTCTACCCAGATCATCACTGCTTCACAAACTTCATGGCTTACCAGTTGGCTTCCAGGTGCAATTCATAGTGTTGGTTGTCATTTATAAAACTTTTCATGGAATAGGGCCTGGTTATTTGAGGGAGTGCCTTTCTCTGTTCCTGCCAATTCAATGCAATCAGGCAGACCAGGTGTAATCTGGCTCTCTTAAATTAGATGTTGCCAACTTGTTGGAACAAGGAACCAGGCTTTCTCTATCACAGTTCCTGCCCACTGGAGTAGAATCCCCACAATGATACATCTAACTCCTATTCTCCAAAAGTTCCATAAGTGTTTGAAAGCTTGGATCTGTTCCCAGGCTTGGGCTATAGTGTGTGTGAAACCCATGGCAATGTTTGGTTTTTATTCAGATGGTTTTACAAAGCACTTTTTAAAAATATCATATTCTTTTAAAGTTATAAACTGCTCAGAATCTTTTTACAATTAGGTCACCTTGAAATTTAACAAATAGCATAGTAAATACTAAGCTTACATTTTTTTCTTATTTAAATTTTTGGCTAATAGTTTTTGCAATATTTCTTTCCATGTTAAGCCATTACTTTCAATGGTAAATTCAACATTTTACTGAATGTTGGGACTACTAATCAGTTTATATCCATTTTAACTACTAAGTAACTGTTCAGCACTTAATTGAATATTCAAACTGATTCAGAAAATAAGCAATGTTGCTTTCAATGTTCAATATTACCATACTGAGATTTTTTAAAATTCTGCATTATTAATAAAAATCTATTATGGTAAATAACACCAACAACATTGATAATAATGAGCAAGGTAGGAAGGCAGTAGAGAAGTAGGAAATAATTAAACAATAAAATTCCAATGCTTAATAACACATTTTTGCTTCAGGAAGTGATAGAACTAATTTTAAGTAATATTGCTTGGTAATATTACATATGTTTTCTTTTAATGTCATTTCTGGCAAAAATTCAGTGAAGATTGAAGATAGTCACACTAGCAAGTTCATTAAACATCTTTTTCAGTAAAGCATGTTTATTTAGCTTAAAATGTGTTCAGGTATTTTGCATGTCAGAAGAACAGAAATAATGCAATGTCTTTGAAGATTAAAGTAACACTATCAGACATTAATAAAATACAGGGTAATTGCCACTGGGACAAAAAATCTTGCAAAAAGAAAGCTAGATCACACGTCCAACTTAAGACCAGTTCTATGAATTGTAATCCAAAGGTAAACTGAACAGCATGTAATAAACCCAAGCTGTTCCATTGTACCATGTTATTATACTGAAGTAATCTTTGGTATCAACCTTCTATGCCATGTCACTGACATAACTGTGATTATAGAGTTAATTTATTCAAGTCCAAAGTTGAGAATATAGGAAGAATAGGAGATACTGAAGGCCAATGGAGCATTATAAAATGTGGGATAAAATACTTACCTGGGGGATGGTAACCTGCATGCTCCTGTTATCATAAATACTTACCTTGTCTTGCAGTAGATTACAAAGATGCTGTTGTGGCAAGAGAGGACCAGGTGGGGCTGTCAGAGCCCTCTCCCCTTTTATCTCTCTCTCTAGGCAGATACTTACCCATCAGGGATAGTATTCTTCTTTACCATGCTCAATGCTGGAACGGACAAGAGCAGGAGGCAGCAGAGAAATTGGGCAGCACTGCAGCAAATGAGAGAGAACCGCGCAGTTAACACGGTACCAATCTCTTTCTTGAAATCTTATAGGATCGTCCTGAAGAACCACATTAGATGTGGTTTGGGGCAGCTTTGTTTTGAGAAACCCGTCTCCTCTCGAAACACAGAACCAGGATCAGCTTTTTAGCAAAGGCATAAGGCCTTTTCTCACCATTGCTGCTTAGCATCCAGCAAGGTTCTTCTTTCATGGTTGGCATAGTTGGAAAGGAGCACAACTGAGAGAAAAGTGTAGTACAGCAGCAAAGGTGCTTTAAAATTCCTTTGAATGAATCAGCCCTTTTTGTTTTAAAGCAGCGGGTCCCCGTTTCCTCCCCCACACACAAAAAAAACTTGGCCAGTTAGCCTTGGTATAGGGTTTCCTGCTTGAGCAGGGAGGGGGTTGGACTAGAAGACCTGCAAAGTCCCTTCCAACTCTGTTACTTCTGTTATAACCCCCAGGATTCTACAGCCAGCCGGCTAGGGAATTCTGGGAGTTGGTCTGCCCTCTTAAAGCAGCCAGTTTTGAAAAGAATAAAAGAAAAACACTTCTACAAACCAGCCGCAGCAATCAAGAGGGCCTTCTACCCCCTCTTTGGATTTGGCCTCATGGGCCAAGCAGCTGAACGGAATGGGGGAGACGAGAGTGACGGAGTCAAGCCACGAAGCGGGCGGCTGTCCTACGACTTAACAAGTACACTGAACAATTGGGAGAGCCAGGGAAGAACTCAGGCCCGTCTCCCGCCGGCGGCGCGGCAAAACTGCTCGCGGGGCAGCCGACTTCCAACACCAGCCTGAAGGGACGGCGAGACCCGACGGCAGCCATCCCGTTGCGGGGGCGCCAGGGACACCCTAAAGTCCCAGCAGCTTCTTCGCAGAGGATGGCTTTGGCCCGTCACGGTCAAGGCGGCGGGTAGCTTTCGAGTCCCGAAATTTGAGGGCCTTGAAGCTACCGAACCCCAGCTTCGCGATGAACTAGAAGCGGAGCGAAGGCCGCGGCCGGTTAAGGAACTTGGCAGCTCGTACCCTCTCAGGCAGGAGTTTGTTTGCAAACAAAGCCAGCCGGACCGGCAACTGGAGAGCCCTCCCGATAATTTTTGAACTGCGCAGCCGCTTCTAAGGTCATCTCCGTATAAGCGCATGCGCATTGGCGCTTCAGCTACGGCGGGTTCTTTACGCATGCTCGCGCGGGTTTGCCCGGTTCTCGAGCCGGCGAGGGACAAGGTCCGAGTGGGAGGGGAAAATCTGCTTTGTTCTGGGCTGCGTCGGCATCGCCCTCTTCAGGTGGAGGAGAGTTCGTGCGCATGCTCAACGTTAAAGCGAACTTGAGATGGGGACGTTTATCTTCTTGGGAAGCGGTTCCTCCCCCCACCTTTTTTAAATGTGGGCCAAGATGTGAGGAGGAAAAACTAGAAACCGACTCAATGTTAGTTTCGCTTAAGCTCGGTGAGAGGGCAGGCAGCTAGCAATGCTGGCTATTGGGATACAGTGCAGCAGAAAAGAAATTGACCCTGTTTCTGAGGGGAAAGTGTAACTTTTCATCTCTTCGCCATTACCGTTATTTCGACAGAAGGCTGCTCATTTGGTGGAATACTGTTTTTTGTACGCATTGTTTTGACAAAATCTAGAAAGATAATAAATTGGGGCCAGGCAAGGTAAAACAATAAACAAGTTTGCTGTGAAAAGAAGTGAATTTTTAAATAAAGGCATCGTTATGCCAATAAATATTTTGACAAGAGCTTTGCAACCCTTTTCCCAAGAGGCAATTTTATACCTAAAGTATACAATGAATGGTTTATATGTTTAAGACTATATACAATTCATAACTGATTTTTATTTAGTTAATGTCTTGAGCATATTCTTAATCCAATTTGCTTCTGACCACACTATGCAGTCTCGGATATTTCAAACTCTTGGAAAAAATTTTTGGAAAAGGATTTCCTTTTCCTATGAAGCAGAATAAAGTACTGTACTACATAGAATATTGATAGTGCTTGTACAGTATATTAGCAAAAAGCCAAATGAAGATTATATATTATATAATTTGTACTATATCTTTCAAAGCAGAATTCAGTCAAAACAACTGTAACCCACTTCCTCCCATTTTTTTAATGAGTTAGATTGAAATTGGCATCAATGTAATCAACATTGCTGTTGGTATCAGATAGACCTCCTCGAGAAGGGCTTAATACTTGAAGTGCCACAGGTGGGACATTACAAATGTGTCCTGCTGGCTGATTTTAACATTGTGGCAGGAACATAAGAGAAAGGGGTCTTAAATATTGAAGAACCAAATTTTGTAAAAATTCCTTGCATCTTTAGCATGAATCGGATGCAAATAGACAATGCCCAATTGAGCTGATGACCCAGCTGAAGTAGATTGACTTGGATGGATGCAGACAATGGTTAATCTTCTGTTATGACAAGAGTTAGACTGGCCACCTTGAGAGAAGAACAATAGAGTTTTTCTTGAAGAGACCCATATGTTACCGGTTGGCTGGTTTATTTGTTATTTTAGAGGTTAGCCAACTTCAAATGACTTGGCTATATACACTTTCAGAGCGAGGAACAATAAAAATTAAGAAACAGATCATAGACACCCAGAAGAGAGAAACACATATAACAGCAGCAACAGCAAAAACATTACAGGGGCTAGATCAAAGCTGAACCAGTGAAACCAAATGCAACAGATGTAGCATGGATGGCTGGAGAATTCTGAAAATTGGAATTCTCACATCTTAAAGTTGCCAAATTTGGAAAACACTGATAAAAGCCAAATTGTTTGATGTAAGGCCAAGCTTGGGATCTGAGTCCTGGTTGTTCTGCCACATATGATCTTCCACACAGGAAATAGATGCATCTCTCCACAGGTGTCTGAGGCAGAGGAAGGTGACAAAACACCACAATGCAAACTACTTTTATGTACTTGTGTGCAATGCTGTGATGCAAGTACAAAGTGGAGTTTGAATTGTGATATTCCAATGCACATTTGGTAATTTTGACACCTTTGTTTTCAGGAATGGACTCATATATGATGATGCTGATTTTACTGAATCTGAAGCTTTTGATACCATTGATATAGCAATACCATTGATATGCTATACCATTGGTATAGCAATAGCAATAGCAGTTAGACTTATATACCGCTTCACAGTGCTTTACAGCCCTCTCTAAGCGGTTTACAGAGTCAGCATAATGCCCCAACAATATGGGTCCTCGTTTTACCAGCCTTGGAAGGATGGAAGGCTTTGTCAATCTTGAGCCTGGTGAGATTTGACCTGCCAAATTGTAGGCATCCGGCAGTCAGCAGAAGTAGCCTGCAGTACTGCACTCTAACCACTGCACCATCCATGGTCCCTTCCAATTTTTATGTTGTCTTTACAGGATTGCCCTTATGTTGGTAAGCAAACCAAGTACGAAAAGTATTCCATTCTTGCATAAATCATTCAGTCACTGCTGCTTTGAAAAATTTTCTGCCTTTCATGTTGTCTAATACTGTATATTCTTTAAGTAAGAATTTTAAAATAAGATTCTAATGCACAGGATTTTTTTCAATATAGTGGTAGACAGCAGTTTTGTAATATTTTGGATTTGATTTCAAATCTGTGCTTCAGAGTATGTAAGGTACAAACACAGTTCTGACTAGAACTCTTTCAAGCAGTGGCCTCCATCTTTTGGGCACCAGGAACTGGTTCCATGGAGAAAGGTTTTTCTGAAGACTGGAAGGAGTGTGGTTTTGCATGCTGCCTGCATCCCACGAATGGGGCTTTGCTTGTTTGCGCAGCCTGGTTGCTGGCATGCCTCAGACTACTGCTGGTCCATGGACCGGGGATTGGGGACTCCTGCTTTAAAGTAACTGTCCTTGTGAAAAATGTTCCCTTTTATGTGTAAAATCCCATGCAAAATTAGTCATTTCTTATATATAGTTTTCATAGTTTACTTTGATAGAGTCAGGCTTCAAGCAAAATTTCTGTTACTTCCTGTTTTATTCCGAAATAAATGACAATATATTCAAAACTATAATTGTGGTGCACTTCAGTTGAAAGAGTATTGAATTGTTGGACATTTTCAAATTAACATCCCTAGCATCAGACTGCACATGGTAATTTGACATTCAGAAAACCGTTAACAATTCTAGTTAATTAAGTCCAGAGTTTAGTTAGTAAAGCCTATTTTAAGACCTATCACTTTGGTGATAAGTACATCCTCACATATTTTATCTTGAAGCTCACAACCTGCTAAATTTTCAGATTCGGGGGAGTGGGGGGATGACTTATATTTAAATCTCTTTCTGCAGAAATCTATTAACAGAATCTTCAGACTTCTTATAAGGCTTTTTGTGTAATACTTTCAATGATTTTTTCTAGATAAAATCTCATATTCAGGCTATTATGGATACTTCTTTTGGTGTACAGACTTCTGATGGAATGTTTTTACCATTTGTCATCTGGATTTTTGACCAACTTTATGTTTAACTTCTAAGTGTGAGATTATTATATACAACCTAGTTAACAACATAAATGCTTTCTGTTTAAAGAATGTAGCTAGTACATTTCTTCTCTAAAAGCTTGTCATAGAACTTTTAGAGATGCAGTGATATTCTCTAGCCTCCTGTCAGGTGATTTAGATAGAGTGGTATTTTTAACCCACAGGTAAGTCTGTTCTGTTTTTTTAGTGGGTACTTTGGTGCTCAAAGCAAACAAATATTTTTAATATTTAAATATTTAAGTTGTGTCCTTGCACATATCATATACATATCAACTTTGTGATATCGTAGGCTGTTACATATGTCACCAATCTACATTTTATAGGGAGAATTGACTGATAATTCACAAAACAAAATGTTCTCACAAATATAAATTAGTTGTACTGCTTTATTTGATTTTTTGCATAATACATCTTTATATAACCTGCTTTCCTGTAGTACTTACATTTTCTAATCAACAAATGCAGCTTAAATCTTTCAAGTTATGTTGTCTTAAATGTGTTGACAGCTGTCATCTTCATAAAATGGTTTAAATTCATGTAGATGATGGTACAATTATAGTATTGAATAAGATTTATTTGTCACTTTTTCTGGCACTTCAAAATTTTCTAAATATTTATGCCTCCAATTTATCTAGTTCATTAGATAAAGGGTATTCAAAATATGGAGCTTAAATCTATACCTTTTTCAAGAAAAGATAAGTCAGATATATTTATCTTTAGATTATTACATATAAAAGAAATGCAAAAACAATGACAAAAATTACAGCTGTTTCAAATTTAAAACAAGATTGAATGTTGTATAGCAGTGATGGAACATGAGATATCACAGCACAATTCCACATAAGTACAAGCTACCCTCAATGAACTCTTCAATAACTTTATGTGCAATCAGAAAAATATATTAAAACATAAATATATTAAAAATCCATTGACATAGAGTCTC